CTACGAAGTAATAAAAAAAAAATCTATAGTCCGAAACAAACATGATCAAAAACAAATCATACAAATAATAACAGAAATGTCTGGGCTGACTGCTCTCATTTTCAATTACTGAGAGAAAACTTCAAGTGGGCTCTTAATGCTACTTGGTTATCACATGGTTTCTTATATTAACTACTCTATTTCTCCTTTAAAATGAAACATTATCTTCTCTCCCATCTCATTTTCTTACTGCTACTACCCAAATCAAGCTATCCTATCTTTATTATTTTTTTTTTAGTGGTTTATTTATGCTCACAGAATTGGGGTACAGGCCAGAGGTGTGGTGGGTGAGAGGATTCACCAGAGACAGAGTGGGAAGCAGAACAGGCAGATTGACAAAGTACACTGCTGAGGGTAGCAGCGGGTGGGTCAGAAGAGGTCTGCCACGCCATGTGGGTCTCTGCCAGGGCAGGGGATCAAACTCATGCTGCAGTGACTTTGTAGAGCTTCATAATGTGGTGCTTTAACCCATTGTGCCATGAGGGAGAGCCTGCTATCCTATCCCTTACCTGGATTATTTAATAACTTCCTAGTTGGTAAATACTCAACTATATGAATCATTAATAAACTAAAAAAAGCTTGCATGTATGAAAATTATTTACCCAAACATTTTTAGAATGTCATTGGAAAGCAAATATTTAATTGAGCATCTACTATGAACCAAGTTCTGTTCAAGTCTGGAACATGGCAAAAGGTAAGTCTTTGCACTTACAGATCTTATATTACAGATGGGAAGACTGACAACTATATAAACATACATGTGAGGTAATGAATATCATAGGAGAGAATTAACTAAGAAGCTGGGAATGGTCACCTGAATTTATCTAAGGGGGGGCAGGTGAGAGTCTCTCTAAAGCAGAAGCCTAAAAAGCAGACAGAAGGAGTTTGGAAGATTTCAAAGTGAATATAAAATTCAGGGTTAATATAAATTCAGGCACTAAAGCAAGTAAATTGTAGGCATTATTAATGCAGTGCGGTATTTACTTTTCTTTAAAAATTTGACAGGGTCTGAAAACCCCTCCTCTATCATAAGTGATACCTATGACAAAAGAAGTTCACAGTTCATAATCTACTTCAGACATAACTGAACTAGTTGCTGCTGGTATATACACGAAGGCTCTGAACTTCTGTCTATGATACAGAGCTAAGCTGGGCACTGAATATTCATGCCATGTTTAGTTTAAAAATAAACACAAATAACCTCCTCCTTTCATTGACCCTCTAAGTTTTGGCTGACTTTACTGAAAAACATCCTTTTCATTTTATCCTGAAAACAACATGGAGAATGACTTTCTTTCAAAACAAGTTTTTACTTGAAGAGAAACACATGTTCAAAGTACAAACAACATTCCAGTATCCAACTTAGGACTACTTAATTTCTGCATATTGATATGATACTCACACTACTGAACATGTTCCTGAACATACTATTTCTTCTATAATTGTATAATATCAGTTCATTCATGAACTCAGACTCCTAACTTATTTAACTAAAGGAATAACATCAAAAACATGTCTGAAATATATATTTTGCAGAAATTATAATTTCTCAAAGTAATCAAAATTAATACCCCAAATTAATTTTAAAAATAAAACTGAAAGGCCCTCCCTAGTGGTGCAGCAGGTTAAATCACAGCACTAAGTGGCTAAAGCCACTTCAGCATGAGTTCGATCCCCACCCCAGAGGTGACCACATGGCGTGGCAGACCTCTCCTGACCCGCCCGCTGCTCCCTTCAGCAGTGTACTACAGTGAATCTGCCTGTTCTGCTCCCCGCTCTGTCTTGGTGAATCCTCTCACCACCCCTGCACCTCTGGCCTGTACCCTAGTTCTATATGCATAAATAAATCTTTAAAAAAAATAAAACTTACAAGCTAATTTTAAATTTATTTATAATGAAGAGAGAAATCTAAGAATAGCCAAGAAAAATCTGAGAAAAGACTAAGAGTAAACCAGGCGCCTCGTTAATTATACAAGTACAAAGCTAGAAAAATTTAAACTGCAATCCTGGATCAGAGAAAAGTGGAAGGACGGAGTCCAGGAACACTACCATGATCATATAAGGTGACATTTCAAATCAGTAGAGAAAGAGATACTAATAGAAGGGGTGGGGGTGGGAAGAGAGATAGGATATTAGTGGTAATTTGTTTTCAAGCAAAAAATCCAGACAATAAAAGCTAAAAGGTGGAAAAGGCAACCCTTCTAATCCCCGATGACAAGAGATCTACATAAAGGTCCATTAGACTTCTGGTCCATGAGCAGGACCTAGGAGCGTAGCATTTCTTCTTACACATTTCTTCTTCTGGCAGCTTGAAGGCATGAGGGTAAAAAGGGGCAGTCTTGAGAACTACTTTGGAAAGAACTTTTGGGAGATGCTACTAGTATATGAAACTGAAGAGAGGTCTTTCTCGCAAACACAGTAATATTTCTACTTGTTTGTAATACAAACAGTAGCTTCAAGTGTTCTTCATTAAAAGTTCTCCCAAACTTTAAGGAAGAGGTGGGCTTCAAACCCAGGAAAGTCTGCTATGGATGACACAATCTTCACTTATTTCAAATGGACAAAAGACAACTCTTGTTGGCAATGGACAAAAGAGAACTTCTAAATAAGCATAAATGTCAAGCTAGATGTTACTATCTGGGCAATCTGGTGTTATAATACTGCTTGTTGAAAACTGGACATTACTTAAACAAATAGAATGCCACAATTCTGAAAAGCAAACACTGAAGATGCAGCAGGTAGAAAGAGGAAAGATAGTCTGGAGATCTATGGGTAATGTGTATGAAGAATCTATAAAGGTCAGGGGAAAAAAATCAGAGAAAGAGAAGGAACAATCTAAGTTTATGTATATTTAATGTAGTTTGCATTTCCATTAGACACAGCAGAAAGTTTTTCTGACATAAAAGATATTAAGGAGCATTCTTAGAATGACGAGGCCTGAGCAGTGGGGGCACATGAGCCCTAGATTTAGGTTTCCCAGCCTGAGCACTGTTGACATGTTGGAGTTGGTTAATTGTTCATTGTAAATGCTGTAGAATGTTTACTGAGCATCCCAGGATCACAGTCACTAAATGTAGTGCCCGTCCCTATTCTGATACTCAAATGTATCCAGATGTTGACAAATGTCTCCTAGGGGTAAAAATTGACCCAAGTTGAAAAACACTGTAAAAGAGCTATTAGTGTTTCATATATTTTAGGGTATAAAGAAAAACATGAACACGGCAAGGAGACAAAAGAGATATTATAGCAAAAACAATAATAATGTATTATAGGGTTTTATGTAGAAGCAAAATGTACATTAGATTATATGTAAAATGGTGTTGACTGTGATAAATGAAAACTGTATGTTATAATGTTGTAAGTCAATAAAGAGAAAATGAATAAAAACTTTCACTTAATAAAACAATATGTAAAATAGATAATATAAAAATAGAATCAAAGAGGTACCCTAAGATCATACTAAAATTTAAAAATAAACAGAGCAAACCTTTACGTTATCATACTAAGGTAATAAATATAGATGACATTTTTTTTACAAAATCACCATTTACAACTAAGATTGCAGTAGCTGCTATCATACAGAAGGATCATGAATGACAAAATTAGTGAGGAACTGCTTCAGAAAAGGATATATGCATATACTCAAAGGTAATGGTTAATACAAAGAGAAACCAATCACAGGCCACATCATCATCACTTGATGTACTGGGATAAACACAACATCCCTCATAACATTTCTGCCCAAAACACCTAATGTATATTTAATGATGACACTAGACAAATCCAAATAAAGGGACAGTAAGAACAAAAACTGTCCTGTATTTTTGTATTTTTGAGCAATGTCAGTGTCATGAAACACAAAGACTTAGAAACTGTTCCCAAGAAAGAAGACAACTAAAAGGAAGTTGACAACTGACAAAATGTGAGTATTTGATAACTGAATTTTAGTAGTAGGAGATCAAAAGTTGACTTTGTTTATAAAGAGAAATCGGAAGGGGTGAAGGAAAGACAAATAGGCTGAAAAGAAAGAAGATGACAGGGGATGGAATGGAAGACAGAAAAGTGGGGAGGGAAGAAGAAATAGAAGCGAAGGAAGAGGAGAATGTGAGCCAAGGATAAAAGCCAAAGCAATAAAATGTAGTTTATTTGGGAAATTTGGGTGCATTTGGGTGAAGTTATGTGGTGGAGTATAGAATTTGATATTGTCTAAATCGAGGAAGTCTTCTGACTTCCGAATTTTGGAGGTAATCTATGTAGTGACTGGTAAGAGTGTCTTCATGTAGGGTAAGTTATACCCAAAGAGAAGAACTGGGTGAATTAGGATGGGGGTTTTGGATTATGTGTTATCAGCCCATCTGCAAAATTCATGTAGCCAATCAGTTGAGAAAATCTAATAAAGTCCCAATAAAATTTCTGGACACTGAAGCTTTGGTGAGTTTTTGAGACTGACAACATTCTGTGCAACTCATGTCAGAATGGTAATGTCCTTTTGTATTCAGGTCCCTCTTAGGTCCTGCTCATCTCTTTCTTTAGCCAGTTATAATTTGTACCCTTTCTCTGTAATAACCTACAACCATGAATATAACACGTTTCGGTGACTTCTGTGAGTTTTTCTCACAAATTTTTGAAAATTGAGGGTATTTAGGTCACTCCACCCCAGGCCCCACCCCAACAAACCTGCAGTTGATGTCAGAAGTCAGAGTGGTCTCATGTGGATTCTTCCCTCAAACTCTGTGGTTGGCTGTACCTCCTCACAGTTGGGATTAAGAAGTTGTGGGTACGCAAAAGTATGGAAGACAGTGCCTTCAACCTTGTACTCTGGCTAAACCTAAGTAGGCATAGAGACAGTTTTCTTTCACTTTTCCTATAATAATACTTCATAAATAAAATCCATTTTTTGTAATTGAAACTGCAGAATAAAAAATGTTTAAAGTACAAAAAAACCTTATATTTAACCTAACAAATATTTTTACTGTATAACTCTTGAATTACATTATTCTAGATATCTAAATTCTCAAGCTCTTGAAAAAGATAGAAGTGACTTCTCAGAGCTTGTGAAGTACTGCTAACCAGAGGATTTCCTTGCCATTAACATCACTGATGTATAGAAAACATGGGGTTTAGCTAACATTACGCAGTTTTCATTTCTTCCAGAGTAGGAAAAAATGAAACATTTAAAGGAATTTTAAAAATCATGTTTTCCTTTGAAGTAACAGTATTATGATAAACAAAGCAGTCCCTGCCTGAGTGAGTCAACTTGTAACTTCAATGTAGAGGAAGCAAGCTATCAGTGGATGTGTTCTTTCAGTCATACCTCTTTTAGAATTTTTTCGTAAAGCTCCAAGTTTGACACCTTAAAAACTGTTTCTGTGAGAAAAATGGTCAAATAACTGGATGTAGCAGATTCTGGATTAAATGGAAATATTTATAGGCAATGAAATAGAAAATCAATTTTTGGTTGTGAGACAACATAAACATTACCTAAGTAACTACAATCTAATTCAGAAATCCAAAGTTGTCCTGGGAAACTATTTAGATCAAACAAAAAGTACATGATCACAAATAAGTAATGCTATAATAAAAATATTGATTTGTACAATTTATTTTCTGCATACTCAGAATAAGTTACTATGTTAGCTTTGCTAAAAAGATTTTAACAAAGCTAAATTATTTTAAATAGTTACAATTCTTCACACTTGTCCATTATTATTCTAAAAATATCTCAATATTGATTTTCAAAGCAAAGAAATACAGATGATCCAGTAAAATATACTTTATGGTAGCCACAAATAAAGTCTAAGGTAACTGTAATCTCAAAATTCTTTTATAGAGAGAATAGGCTAGGACATAGAAAGAAAAAAAATCTATGTTTGTACTTGATTTATGAGGGGTTTATATAAAATTAACTTTGACACACTGAAAAAAAAAAGAGAGAAAAAACAAAACAAAATTAAATTTATTCTATAATCCCTCCAAAGAGAATTATTCACACATGTTTAAATAATGGACTGGTAAACAGAAAAATAGTTTTTAGATGAAAAAATTCACAAAGAGCGATCAATCATCAAATGTAATCTTTTTCCCCTGAAACACAGCAATTTTAGATTGCTGTTCTTTTCGCCTCCTGCTTGCTTCCCATGAAGGATGAAGAGGCAGCTGTGAGTGCTGCTTTGTATTTTCAAATCTTCTCTGTGTACTCTTATTAAGGTAATTCTTGACTTGAGGTTCATTTTGCTGAAAACCTGGGAGAAAAGAAAAAACAACAAAAACTATACACTTAAGCAGCATAAAAAGAAATATATTCCATCTTCTCAAATCAGTATTTAAGGAGCAAATTAAATTACTAAAATGGTGTAGTTCACAATTTAAAACTGAAATATAACATGAAAGAGTTTGGAATTAAAACATGTATGTATGTGAACCTCTAATTCTGGCACAGTACTAATTACAACAATCTTTTTAATCCTTTCAAGAAGATGTTGAGAGCATGCCTCTTAATATACATTGTGTAGCCTTATTTACACTGACATCAATAAAGAAAATACTACAGACAACATGGAAGGGAAAAAAAGAGCATTTTAAATTTTCAGAGGAATAGCACTAATTTATGATACCTAATTTCTGGAGCAGATACGGTCAGAAATGTCATGTCACATTAAGGAACTAGATCTGACAAAAGTAGATGGAAGAGATTATTTTTTTAAAAGATATTAATTCAACTTAAAATGATTTCAAGGTTAATCATTAAATCTATTCAAATATAAGACAAATTTTTTTTGCAGTTGTAATGTTATTATCGATCAGATGGATGGCAACTTGTATTCTAGTACGAATATAGTTTTTTATATTATGAAATATTTTAATTATATTATTTTTGAAATAACTATCTGGGGGATACATATTAGTTTGAGAAAACATGAATAATTACACATATATAGAATTGGAAAGAAAAAGGGAGGGAGAAAATAATATAAATTTATTAATCAGTCTTAGGGGTATATAACTTTACTGCTTCAAGTTAGGCATTATTGTTAAAAAGTCTCCTTCAGAAACAATGCCAAAATACACATACAAGCGCATGTGATTTGGGGTAACATTTCCAAAACATTAGTATACACATATTTACAATGTCCATATCATCTCAGAATTACCTGAGCTAAAAACCTGTATGATAACATTCAGAATGGCTTTACTGACAATGTGAAGCTTAATGTTAGATGAAACTGTCTCATGAAAACTGAGATATGAATATGGCAGTTATTTCTCAACTAATGTGTATTTAATATAATTATGTAAAGCAAATTTATATATGCAAGTAAAATGATATCCTAAATAAATAAGATAATAAGATAAAAAACAAAGTACAGATTTTTTTTTTTTACTTCAGTCTCTTCTTCATTAGGAAGATATGGGAGTGCCCTAAGTTACCGTTCATGTGAAAATACAGTAAATGACACATGTTGCCATGTGTTTGCCAACTCAATTCTTTTCTTACTGGGAGTACAGCTGAATACTTCCCATCCTGTCACCACATAACCAAGTTATAGCTAGTGAAACATGAGCAAAAGGCTTTACAATTAAAACGCATCACATTCAATCCTTTATTCTCTCTGCCTCCAACGCGCAAGGGCAATACCAGAGTAGAAGCACAAGATGGAAGGAGACTTAAATAGTAGCAATACACTTATGAATGAGAAATATTTCATGAGATTTGTAGCCACTTGTTACAGTAGGTAGTCTACCATGAATACTAGCAAAATTGATATTCTGAAGTAGGAAACTGATTAAAATGACATAAGACTTTGGCACAGGGGTAGCAGTTCAGTGGAAGGTGGTGCAGTGGGAATCTATGTCTGAGACTGAAAAGTAATCTCCTATGTGCTATAGAACTATTGAAAACTGCCGCCAGTGAGGACATGGAATGCAGGCCACATGCCTGAGGATCTTGTAGCACCAGGGCAAATGCTTGAAGAGAATACAAATATTACTATAGAGAATTTTTGGCGCTATACTAAAGAAATGGAGCAGAGTTCAGGAAAGACCTAGTCAACTTACAAGCAGACACTGAAGGGAACAGAGTCCAGATATATGAGAACTTTTAGAAAAGCTCAGATATCCAAACAGCAAGAGAGAACACTGAAAAAGACCGCAAGCAGTAAATGTCCACTGATTTTCCCCCTGCAGTAGTAATGGCCTTCCAACCAAACCTGAGGTTTCAATACAGCAGACGCTGAGAGTGGGTGTAGAGGAAAACACAAACAAACAAAAAACCTACACATAAATAAAGTAGGTTTGAGAATTAATTCTAAGAAAGAAATTTCAGTGTGGTGACTTGGAAACAAAGAGGTCAGAAATACTAAGTTTTGGAGAGAACAGCATTGTGAAAGAAATCACTAAGCCGGGGCTGGGAAAAATACCTATGATTATTATTACCATATTAAATAGACTAGCAATTGGGGCAAACCTTAAACATGGCCACAGTACAAAGATCCTCCTAAGAAATTGTCAGGGGCCATGTTGAACACGGATAAGTGCCGCAGAGAGTCAGGATAATCGATGAAGTTCTCTGCTATTAATGATGATGTGGCATCTAAATGAATTTGCAACAGGGGCAGGCTGGGCAGAGTGCCATTAAAGATAAGAACAAAGGAATAAGCAAAGAGCATGCAATCATGTTTTTGCCTATACAGATTAATAAATTACTGCTGAAAGGAAGTTTTCCTGCTTAGTAGGGAACATGCACACAAGCCAGTATGTCCTTAGAGAACAAGAGTCAATTCTGGGAAGAAGTTCTGTTTACAGAACTTCCACTGTCTTGGAACTCTGTATGCAGAGTATTCTCCAAAAACGCCCTTTAGGCAGTTTTCCCCCAGATAAGGAAGCCCTAGCAGATCCTTCTATTTGTGCTTAGGTGGGTATGCCACCCACCTTTCCCTTAACTGACTGAGGATTTTTATTGTGTTCCCTGATCCCTGCTCTACCATCAAACATTTAGTGTGAATTGGGTACAGACAGTTCCCCTTTTAAAAAGGGACACTAAACTTTGAGCAGTGACAATCTGATGAAAAGCAACACACTGCCATTCAGTAATGACATTCAGAGCTGAAGGTACTGACTGGATGGGACTTTGATTTCCTTGGGAAAGAACAAGTACTCTATGTGTGGTAGGAACCATGATAGAATGAATTCACAGTCAATAGCAGTCACAGGTATGTGTTCCAGAACATTCTTCTTTAGTTTTCCTTCCAATCCTACAGATTACAATGCATAACTCCTTTCCCACTAAAATTGTAGCAAGTGAAACCATGGATAAGGGACAACTACTGTATTCTCTTCTGTTAGCTAAATGCAGAATTATTTGGGCAAGCAGGTTTAGATCCTAAAACAAGAATCAAGAGAGTCCTTACCCAACTATATTAAAGTCAGCCTACCCAAATATATTAAATATGATTTATTATGACATAATCTGAAAATGTGCACAATAATATACTTGTTACTGAATATTTTATGGCAAAAAGTTGACTGAAATGTAACTTACATAATAATTTACTTAAAGAATATGGTGATTTATGTCAGGGTAAATTTAAAAGACAATTATCTTTTGTCTACATCTTTTCCACTAGCAGAACACAGTGCTAAAAAAAGTAAGTGGTAATCGGGGTGTGACCAAGTTATATTAATTTCTCAATACAATATAGCAGAAAACAAGCAAAAAATTAAGAAAAATTACACTGATAAATTATAAAAATCTGTTTCCACCTTTGTAGACAAAACCCTATTCAGTTCATTAAGCAACCAACTTTTTCATCCCTCCATCTTGACAAAACATTGTTTCATTATATATTGAGATTAAATAGCCATTAATACATACCTGAGGCTTTGCTTTTTGGAACCTGTTCTCTGCAAGTTCTGGAAGAAGAAAAACAGCAGTAAGACTCTAACTTTTTAATCAAGAAGAAAAATGTTCACTCAAAGGACTGTTTTTAGGTCCTAATATTACTAAAGAAGATAGTGGAGTCTGTCTCTTATTATCCCCATAGGGAATTCTGGTCATAAAATATTCTCTTTTGGTTACTGTTGATCTACTTAGGACTACCTACATAATGTCTTAGAAAATTACAACACTGTTCTATTAAATATTATCTGTGGCCCTCCCTGGTGGTGCAGCGGGTTGGAGCGCTGCATTGCTAAGCCAAGCTGTGGGGGCTTCCGTGCACGTTCAATCCTCGCCCTAGAGGTGATCCACATGGCACAGCAGATCCCTCCTGTCTTGCCTGCTGCTCCCCTCAGTGGTGTACTTTGTTGACCTGCCTGTTCTGTTCCCCAACCTGTTGCTGGTTAATCCTCTCACCGGGCCTGTAACCCGTTTCTGTATGCAGAAATAAATAAAATCTTTAAAAAAAATAAATAAAAAATAAAAATTATCTCTGATCTATAAGGGGAAAAGTTTACTGAAGGAACAAGCTCTGAATGAGATCTTTACTCTAAAATGTGAAGCTATTCCTATCAGATTAGATTACAAATAAAACTGAACACAATCATTTGTAATAGGACACTGTGAAAAGTGGTGCGCAGCAGCAGGGACAGAGCGGGGATAGCAGTATCACTACGAGCAGTCTGAAGAAATTCAGTATTGGGGCAAACAGGCTTAGAGCTTAACAAAAGAATACATAATAACACGGCTGAAGTTTACAATAATGGCCCAGGATTATCAAGAAAAAACCACAATCTTCTTTACAAAGGTCTATTGAAAGAGTGAAGTGTGACATTCCCAAACACTTTTTATCAAAAACTGTAATATCTTATTTTCTGATACAGCTGGCTAAATGTGGCATTATCTTGATGTGTGCATACAATACAAAGAATTAACCTAAATACAGGATGTGCTGTATAACCTAGAAATATGTATGGGAGATTGACTCTTTGTTCATTGTTAGGAGGCGCGGAAATTTCCTATCTTCAAAAATAGAATAGAATAGAAAAATACACTTACCTTCTAGAACTTTTAGATCCTGATAAAGAATGGAAAAACACAGATTCAAATTTTGTTATTCCTGTATTTGGCATGTTTTTATCATTTCTAAAATCTTGAGGGGTATCAAGAATCTCCTCCTCAGATAACAATCTGGGGGGTGCTTTCTGTTCCTTAACTGAAGAAGGGCAACTATTTTCTTTCTTTCTTGTCCGTTTGACTTTCCCAATGAAGAAGTCATCACCACTATCACTATCCTCAGACATGGAAGACTGTTTGTAAAACCTTTCTTCTGTGCTATCGTCAAAATATTCTTTCTCTTCTTCATGTAATTCTTCTCCATCACTGTTATCATCAAGGGAGTTTGGGGGCTCTTTCTTATCTTTGATTTGACTTAATGTTTTCACTTTTGGTGCAGCAGGTGTTTTCCGCAGTTCAGAGGAAATGACAGAATCCTTTACAGCAGGCTTTGATGGAGAATTTGGAATGCTTACTGATTTTGGTTCATGTTCCATCTTGGCTATTTTTCCTTTTGAATTATTTATTGGTTTCTTTGTCAATATTTTGGTTTCTTTTTCTTTTTGCTCACTGATAATAGTTCCTTCATGTTGTAACTTTCTGGCATCATCATTTGAACACAAAGTGTCCTTGGACTGAGTTTCTTCTGAAGCATTCTTTGATGATATTACTTCAGAAACATTTTGTCTTGCATCTTTAAAGTCTTTGACAGCAGCTGCAACAGATATAGCACATGACTTGTTTCAGCAGTGAAACAATGTAAAACAACACTATTTAAGAACAGTGTTTCTTAAAATTACTTGCAAATACTAAGGAAGACAATTGAATTTTATGTTAAATAAGTACAACAGATCTGACTACATTCATAAATTTGCTAACTTTTAAAAAACTAACTAAAGAAGTGCTAGATGATGTTCATTTTTGTCTTTAAAAGACTAAAGTCTGAAGAGTGAGTCTGTAAGAAGGTAAAATGGTGACATTAATTTCTGTGGGAATAATGTATCGATACAATTTTATTAATAAAGTACAATAAGTTGTACTTTCAAACATAAAGGTATCTTCCAATCTGCTACAAAAGCATTTAAATTTTAAATACATTTTACAGTACACACACATATAAATGAAAACTGTTTGATAGCAATATATGCAAAGATAATAGGAATTATATCAATATTTAGAGATTCAATCATATCCCATTATATCATGAACATAAATCTGAATGTTATCTAATCATATGTTCAGATACAGTAAAAAATACAAACTTAGATTTTTCTTTAGATATTGAAACCTTTCATATTTACAGTCACCTTCCCACATTTAGAAATAACTGAAAGTGATATTTGTAATATAAAAGATCCTCAATAAAAAAATAACCAAACAAATGATTATTTAAAAGTCATTTGCATAAATGCATTTAAGTATATAGTTTACACATCATTAAATTCATACCTTTTAGCACATCTATTTTTTTCTTGAGAAGAGGGTGTGTTGCTAATCTGGCAATTGCTCTTTCAGTTGCAGTAGAATCAGGCTGCAAATTGAAACAATAAGCAATGGGGGAGAATGTGGTATTATTAAGATAAAAGTGAATAAAATAATGCCTGTAATAATTTTTTAAAATTACAGCCAGGAAACAGCAATTTGTCAATATTATCATTCTATATAATTAATACTAAAGAGATATAAAAATCATGCTAGTAAAAAATACTACTGCTTTTAAACAATTAAAATCATCATGTAATCAATGAATAAATATTATTGGGTACTTAATATCTTTCCAGAATTATGATAAGTATAAATCTATTACCACACCAGAATTTGAAGTTCCATTTAGAGATTGCGAAAATGTCTAATACTACATGTTTATATTTTCAATCATATCACTATTGTAATTCTCTGAATGTCCCACCAGAGAGCCTGGTATACAGCCAATACTTTTTTTTTTTTTACAGCCAACATTTTTTAAATAAGTGATGATCAACTTAATGGGAAGAGATTAAGTAATATTTAATGCATCAATAAATTTAGAAAACTTATACTTTGGGCTAACTGCTTTAAATATATGTAGGCTGACGACTTTGAAGTTTTTACCTATAGCTTTAACTTGAGTTTCAGACTCATATATGTTCAGACACCTATTTGATATGTTAAGGGAACATTCTCTGATTTTCTTGTCAAGCCACTTATGTAGTAATCTTTTCCACTTCATTGTACTTAATTTTAATGTTTCTGGTTGCTCAGGCCTAAGATTCTAAACATTCCTCAATCATATTTCTCCTTCCTACCTCACAATAAGTATTTCAGCAAATTCTGAAAATTCCTTCTATGAACTATCTCCAGAATCAATCATTTCTCATCATTTTGACTCTTAGTACGCTCAGCCAACTTACTAACACCTTCTATGTGATACAATGTAATAAGCTTATATCTGGTCATATCCCTTTGTATCTTGCTGGCCCACAGTCCATTTTCTATACAGCAGTCACAAGGAGCTTTTACTACGTAACCAGGTCATGTTATTCAACTGTAAGCTGTTTTACCCCTGAAAGGCTCTATGCCACAAAATGCACATGGCTGATCTCATTATTTTCAGGTTTCTGCTCAAACACCATCTGAATTAACATAATACTTCAATCGTATTTTATTTCAAATTTGCTGATATTGTGTGAACTACAAATGTTTTCATTATTTACAAGGTTGGGTATTTATTTTTTTCTTCCTCATTGCAATGGGTAAGTACCTAGAAGAATAACTGGAAACAGGTAGCATTTTATAAACATCATATAAAGCAAATGAATAAATTCCACTAGAGTATGAAAGTAGAGCTACCAACTTCAAATATTTTTATTTTAAATGTACCCTTCATTACTAACAGTCTAACATAAGACATTTCCTTTCCCAGTAAAACAAACATGTGAATGTTTAGATAAAAGCAAATGATGGCAGTTTGAGATCTATTCTCTTTGGAGGTCTAATCTATACAATATCAACTGAAAAACTTCTTTAAATTATAGCTGCTGCAAATCCTGCCCTGGGACCACCTAAATACCTTCTCAATTTCTTACTCATTTAGAGGAAACCGGTTTTAACAACAACAACAACAACAACAAAAAAGCCACACTGCAGGTGTCATATATATTCTGTACCATAATGTTATTTGTGTACATACATTTCAAAAGTTCCTAATGCTTTTAATTTTTACAAACCAGAAATTATGATGAAAATTACTACCTAAGGCATCTTAGGAAACAAATCTTGTTAAGTGAAATGTAAAAAATGTTAAGAGTTGCTTAATATTAACAAAATACATTAAGTGCAAAAATACCATAAAAATCTTGCAGTATGTGCAACAGCAACTTTGAAGGAACACTGAAATCCATTACCAGAATGTTTGATCTGGAAGGGTTCCTTTATAGAGAAATGAGCAAAGAGGCAGACATGGTAAGAGACCTTCCTGAATTTTGCAGCGAGTTGCAAAGCAACACTACTTAGAATGCAGAAATGCCAAGCCTCTTCCCTCTGCTGAATAGGAATCTTTGCTAATAGAATGAATGCATTCCTTATAGTTTACTATATTAAATTAGTATCTGATTTGATGCTGTTTCTGATTTGCAAATCTTTGTACCTTATGACTTCTGAGGTAGAAAAAATTCAAATGGGGAAAACTGCAAAGTAGAACCTTTTAATGGTACTCATATAACACTGTTTTATATGTACAAGGGGTTTAATTTTTCATTTCTAAGGGCCAATAAAAAGTGTTGTACAAGAAGTTCTTAAAATATTTGACTTAAAGAAATTCTCATTTTAAAATAACAAATTTCATAAATCATAGCAATGATTTAAATCGACCTTTTAATTTCTTCTAAGTAAAAAATGTTAAATTTTCACCTTAAACTTCTCCTTAATAATATTAAGAAAGCAATTAAAAATCCTTCATTTAATTTTCTAAATTAAATTTTAGCAAGAAGGGGAGTATGATTTATGGAATTTTGACTTGATTTCAAGATTGCCTGACCAGTTAGAAACAAAGTTACAACTCAAAATCAAGTTTCTGAAATCAATCTTGTATTCTTAAACATGTTTTATTTTAAACTATTTCAGATGCATTTCTATCAATGTGTGACTGAACTCCAGGCCCTCTCAAATGTTTGCAGAGAAGGAATTAAATGCTAATATAAGTACAGAGACTGATGAGGCAAGTGGGCTCAGATTCCTGTCCCTGGCACATGTGGGGTCTCTGCTTCCTTTCAGGCATTTTCCTTTCCTTTTAAACACAGAGCTAAGTTAGTAGGAGAATAAATAAATTGGGCAGCCCGTTAGAGGAGATAGCATTTTTCATAATCTGCCTCATTGCTCTCCTGTCCATCTTGTTCCTCTTTGTATTTACTGAACCTTTATGTGAAGTTATACTCTCACACACGAGGACACAGATACCAATAACTAAACTAAGGAAAGGTAATAAAATTTATGGGAGGTAGAAAATGTTATGGAATGTACAAAAGGAATTCAAATAGAGACAAACAGTTCAGATTTAAATAAACGTATTTTGAAGTTTTTACAGTTTATATTTAAATAAACTTATTTTGAAGCTTAACAGCTAAGTAGTCTCTATGAGCAAATAGTTTTTACACCTGCATGAAAAAGTCTTCACAATATTGGGGAATATGAAGGAAACCACAGCTTTCCTTATTTAAAAATGACACAGTGTTTGCTGTGGAAAATTCTCAGGAAACTGTGGTTTTCACACACCTCCAGTTTCTTCCATTTCAAATAAATTAAATAAAAAAGGAAAAACACATCATATTTTAATGGAAAAATTTTTATTTTGGCATATGTGTTCTTATTGTGAACACAAAGCATTTGGTGTTCAATTTTGAAAAGAATTTTGAGAATGTACATGTGAATGTAAACAGTCTAAAAATGAAAAGGCTCTCTTAAATACCATGTCCAGTCCTTTGAAATGTGGCCTCAAACACACTGACTTAAAATGAACTGGTAGTGGTTGAAAATTAGTAAGAGTACTTTTAAAATTAAGTGGACTTAATTCCAATTCTAGGTGTTTCCGGAAGATATCAACCAACACATTCATATCTGCATCCCTTAAAAACATTTAGTGAGATAACAGCAAACAGTCCAGTCCATTTAGCTGGATCAGAAGCACTGTGACAAAGGAAGCAAACTAGTGCTTAGAGTCTACTCTTGAACTTTTAAAATCATTATAATGCCATTCCACAGAGCAGTCTTACCTATGTGGGACTCACTCCATTGTTAATCTAAATTTGGTTTTGCACGTGAGGCCCTGACTTGGACTCTGGAGCTGTCATGTCCTCCTGACTCACTATAGGTGTAATTTGGACATTTATATGCCTGTTGTCTCATCTGCTAAATGGCAGTATCATCAGCTCTCCCGAGAGCTTATATTATAGAACATCTAGCAAGTAAGACAACTGATGTTAACAAACATTAGTTTGCTTCCTCTTATCTAATACTTGTTTAATATAACTGTCTAAAGAATTTTCTATTAGAGAGTATTTTCTTCTGCAAAATACTCTGTGTCTTTTATCCTCCTGGTATTGACCTTAAAAATGTCTTGGCTATTTTAATGCATGCAACGGACTGCTGAATTGAGAAGCTCAGGAGAAGTTAAGAGTTACAGTCTCTTAACTCTCCAGTCCTAAATTTTCACCATATATACGTGTTAACTGTTTACTTAACCACTCTAAACCTTCCCACATTTAAAATGAAAACACTATTACTACACACAAGTGTACACATGCCACAAGCACACATTAAAATTTTCTATAAAGAGCAGGTGAGATTAGAGTGTGTATAAAAGAACTGTGCAAGCTGTAGTATGCTATTCACATTAGCTTGCTCTTCTCTATTGTGCTATCCGCAATGCATAAATGTGAAGAGCTATATGAATACATTTATTTTCTGCTTATGTCTACCGAGCTCTCTTCCTCGACAAAATTAATCAGCCCTCCATCTAGGTCACTCCACTACTTGCTTTATTTTTGTTTTAAAAGTTTGATTAATTAACAAGTGGTGATAGGGAAGAACCTAAATCCAGTGTATAGCTATCACAAATAAAATAAAATCCTAACAGTATAACTGAAATAAATAGCTTGGGAAAAAATCTGATGAGTCGTAAGCAGGGTAGTTTCCCTTGGCCCTGAATCTCTCACAAGTTCCATCAAAAACTTTGATGAAACACTATTTTTTCCTTTCCTCCTGGTCTACTTTCCCTCCCTTCCTTTAATTTGGAAAAGGTACAAAAGAATAGAAATATAATCAGGTCTCACTTGAAAATATTTCGGTGAGATTCTAAACTTTCTAGCTGACTTATTAACATAAACTCATCATTAAAAATCAAGTTATATGCAAATGACCTTATTATTAATAAAATAACAGTGATAACCTAATGTAGACATGTGCTTACACATTTTTAAGATAGATGACATTTTACACACTAGAAGATTGAACAAAGGATTGTATTATAAAGAGAAGAAAATATGCTTAAGAACTGTTGTTATATATGATATAATACATTAACCTTCTAAAATGAAAACATTTGGTTGAAAGAGGGAAAAATAAAACATGGGATATTTTATTTTGGATATTTTCAAGCTAAAGTTAAATAATAAATATTGCACAGTTTTAATGTTAGAGCTTAAATGGAAACAGTATTACTAGGGAACTAAAATAAACTGCTTTTTATTGTCACCACAAATTAAACATGAATGAAATTCTTTTAGAATTCAGCAACCAGAAAGTAAAAAAAAAAAGTTATTTTGGTAGTCTCAAGTTATTATATTTTAAAACTCGCATGAAAACAAAAATATACTTAACCATATTTTCATAGGATTACCACTGTTCTAGTTCACATACCGTATTGTCTCTAAAATATAGACAAAACCACAAGTTTAAAAGTATAGTAAGCCTAATTTTCCCTCTCTTTATGAGTCCTATGAAATATAAGAATATTTAACAGCCAAATGATGCTAGTATTAAACAAAGATGCTGTTGTAAAATCAAGCTCATTATATAGGTGGTTGCTTTTGTGACAAGACCAATGAAGGTAACAGCAAATCCTCGCTTCTGCCAAACAAAAACAGCTCCTCATACTCTGGTATTCTTACTACAAAATCTTTTAAAACAACATATCCAATAGTAATTGAGTGTAGAGCAGTGCTACTTTATATAGATGTACTTGAGAGTATTTTTCCCTTAAGGTAAGCATCACTAAATTGACATTAATTTGGAGATTCCAATATATCTCTTTAGTAACCAATAAAACAACTTGTCAGAAATCAGTAAAGATAATAATCAACATTAACCAATGTGACCTAGTTGACATTGATAGTACACTGATCTCAACAGAGTACACATGCATGTTATATTCACTATAATAAGCCATACTCTGAACCATAACATAAATAATAACTAAATTAAAAGACACAAAAAATCATGCCCTAGGATCATTTAAAAAAAAAATCAGTAACAAGGAGGTGTTCAGAAAATCCCATAAGTGTTCAGAAATCAAATAACATAAAACCGTTGGTCAAAGATGAAGTTTCAAGTGAACAATAAAACATTTTGAACCCAAAGAAATTAAAATGCAACACATCAAATCCATGGGATGCAGTTAACACAGAATAGTGGGACATTACAGCAAATGTCAACATGGAAACAGAAAAGCAATAGAAAAAAATAAATTCATTGACCATCCGTGGAACAGTCTTATGTAGGGATTAGCAAGTAGGTAGAAAGGAAAAGAGGTAAATAATTAAGGAAGAGGCAACAATAGCAGATACAAGAAACAGAAGATTTGGGTAAATGTCCTAATCGTCCTAATAATAGTGGTGTGACCCGTTAGCAGCTCATTTCATTCTTTCTCAGCTCATTCCCTCATTTGTAAAAGTGGGCTAAAAATTATCTTTCTAAGGGGAAACTGCGGGGATTAAGTGAAATACTAATAAAAATGATTTGGAAAGAATGAAAATATATTCTTTAATTAATAAGATTAACAAATTAGTTCAGATATAACACATAAATGTTACATTAAGTTACAAGCCTTAAAGATGTGATATCACAGGAAAGAAAAATCTGTAAGTTACTACAGAAATTTTTTTTGGTGATAGTATAGAAACTCATGTGGGGGGCCTCCCTGATGGTTCAGGGGTTAACATCTCAGCACTATCAAGCTATTTCCAGCAACCATGCCATGAGTTTGATCCTCACAGGATGCTGACCCACATAGTGCAGACCTCTCTGATCTTGCCCACTGCAACATAACATTTCAGTAGATGTACATTTCAGTAGATCCACCTGTTCTGCTCCTCACTCTGCCTCTGGTGAATCCTCTCACTTTCCTTACCTCTGGCCTATACTCCAGTTCATGAATGCATAAATAAAAATGGCTTAAAATAAAAAGCTCATGTGCAGAAAATTGTGACATATTAACATTTGCTTGCTTATTCATAACATTTTTTCTTCAAGCAAAAATAAAGTCAACAATAAAAGGGAATGTTTCATAACGGAAAAAGTATATATTGCAGATATACCTTTTTGCAGATTTTTTCAAAGTTGATATCATCACCAAGAGCAGATTTAGTTATGACATCAGGTTTCAATTCCTGTGAAAGAATGAAACAACATAATTTTAAATTTAAACTGTATTTTGTTGTTCAAAAAACCAGATGTTAATTCTGATAAAGCTCAAGTTTTAGAAGAGATCAACTCCTATCACATGAAGAATTATCATGTTACTGAAACTAACACCACAGCAAAATGAATTTAAAATCTACTACCCATCAGAATAATATTACTTCAACTGAATTAGATTAAAATAATTCAAGGGGCTCCCCTGGTGATGCAACGGGTTGGGATGCAGCATTGCAAGCTGGCCACAGCTGCTTCAATGTGAGTTCGATCCCCAGCCCCAGAGGTGATCCACACGGTGTGGCAGACCTCTCCTGACCCACCCGCTGCTCCCCTCAGCAGTGTACTTCATCGATCTGTTCTGCTCCCCATTCTGTCTCTGGTGAAGCCTCTCACTGCCTCTGAACCTCTGCCTTGAATCCCAGTTCTGTATGAATAAATAAATCTTAAAAAATTAAATTCAAAATGTTAACTTAAGCCTTCTTAAATTTAAAGATATTACTACTGCTTTCTTTCTGCCCACTGTCTGTGCAAGTCCTCTCTTTTCCTTTCTTTTAATAAACCTAACATTTAAAAAAATATATAAAAAAGATATTACTAATTTTAACATCAGTTCAAGATACTGGCAATTATATCAATTTATAGAGCAATGAAGATTTTACAGAAGAATAGTTACGCAATTAATGCAGATTTACTTTAGAAAATCAAACCAGAGCAAAGTAGGTTAAATGACTAACAATGTTGATATGATTTTATTTTTGTTACACACTTTTCTACACATCTCTTAAAGAGAATTCAAATTTGATGTGCATTCCACTAATGAAGGATGCATTTAGATCACACAAAAATGAAAATCTTCTGTATTAATAGTTAGCAAGCTATCCTGTTTGAAAGTATAATATTTAAGTGGTTTTAGTTAATAATATTGCTCTAATTAAACTAAATTTAAAAATCAGATGATTGAATTTAAAACAATGTTGAATCACAGTAGATATGTGATAAAAAGTGGTTCTGGAGGCAGCAGAATAAGGAAGCATTGCTCTGAGAAGAATGGATAAATGGGCCTCACACGGCTTTTTGCAGATAAAAGATGAAAGTAAGATGAGTAAGAAAAATTACAGAAACAAGATAGCTCTTGTTTCTGAAGAAACAAGTTCTAATTCCTTATTCTCACCCATGAAGAAATTTCACTTTCTATCCAAACTTATGGTGGACCTATCCACAAGATGTCTATGATTAGGATACCAAATTCATATAAACTGAATGGAAGAAGAAACAAGAAATGTAAGCCAAATACTTTGATTTTAAGAGATTTTCTCCGACAAAACCATTCATGAAACAAGACAATATAGGATAGCCCTCTAAGTTGCATTAAGAAACTTTCAACAACCATTTGGAATTACATAAAAATACACAAAATCAGAAATTAAAACACAAACAGGATAAATGTGATCCAGAAATATGATAAAGCTCAGGACATAAGGTGATTCAGAAAACTCTCAGAAAGGAATAATTCACTGAACATTTCATTAAAGGAAAGTCAAGAAAAGGAGCAAGAAAATGAAAATGGATTTTAAAAAAGGAACATGAACAAAGTGGACAATCCTGTGTGTGCTTAACTGGAGTCCCTTGCAGGACAAATAAAACGCCATACTATTTCTAATATATATATTAGGAGTTATTAATGCAATCACAACTCATTAGAACTAAAAGGGACTTCAGGTATCACATAACTTTGTCTAGCAGTGTAACAAAGGTTAATTCCTAAATATTGGTTGTTCGGCTCTGTGGCTGCCTAGTAAGGCTGTCCCGTATTCAGCAGTGGCCCCTGTCCAGCTCCTACGAGATAAGCGATGAACCCCTGGGTGGCTGGGTACCAACTGTTTATGCTCAGAATGTGGTTTATGATGTACATACTGGGACACTTCAAATACATTTCCCTTTTGCTGATTTTGTTCCACTGAGTCGTAGTAAACCACTGCTTGAGAGTAGAAACACCTTTTTTGTTTTTTGAGTCCTGTGAATCATTCCAGTGAATCAGCGGATTCTAAATGGGTGAATCACTGAAGCTCAAAGTGGTTTGGGATGCCTTCATCTACTCAATTTGACAGAAGAAAAAATGACCCAAGAAAATTTGAAAGATTCATTCAAGATTATAGCAAGAGCTAGGCCTAGAATCTCCACATGTTGCTTCTTGCCATATCCTGCTGTCAGTGGTGAGAAATGAAAAATTATTTTTGTTCCTTCCTAATTGAATTAGTTTAAATAAATTGCTCAAGATAGTCATCCACTAATAACTGGCTCTATCTGCTCCCTTTGTCCACACCATGCCAAATACTACTGTGTTGCTCTTATTCAAAATAGCAAATTAAATTGAAATGAAGTAACCCCAAATTTGGTTATTTGGCTATCCCCGTATCTTTTTCCTCTCCAGATTTGCTTGACACTGCAATATACTGACTGATTCACACCTATACAACCAGAGCAGTGTTGTGTCTGGCTGAGTTGGGAAAAGTAGGCTGTAACAGAATTAGTTTCTATCGAGCAATGGGGTAGGGGTTTGTGAAAAGACAAGATGCAACTTGGAGGTAGTAAGCTTGCCAACATTTTAATTCTGAGAGGTTCTCATTACACTTGGACTTCTAACTTAAAAACAAACAAGCAAACAAACAAAAAAAAAAACCTTACATTTTCTAAAATGTGATAGAAGTCCAAATATGATATGGGGATATGGGGGCTTAGTCACCAATGCAAGGAATTACATGGAGCAAGAGAAGTCTGTACTCTTGAAGTTTTTTTTTTGTTTGTTTACTTGCAAATGAGGCAAGAATTGCATTTCTCCAAAATAACTCTTCAGAGAGCTGTTGATCTCCAAATCCTCATGCCTTTCCATAGATGGAAATCTTATGGTTAGCCATTGGTGACAACAAAATCCGTATTTCCTAAACAGTGCTCTGTTTACTAATGCAGTTCTAAAAGATGGAATTTCATTTAGGTGAAAGATATTATATTGCCAAGAGATTTTTCTAAGTAAAATCTCTGTCTCTTTTAGCAATTTCTGTGTTTATTGCTACTAATGGCACCTGCCACCTCTGTTGTTTAGGTGACAGCTCAGTCACCAGCCTCAGCAGGCCTCTTCAGCACGCTCTTACTGTGTCCCCTTCCGCCCCCCCACCTGCCCACTCTGCCATAGTGTCTGCTAACTCTGACAGCCTCCCTTGGGCTGCTGCTATCCTCTACACAGGGCTTCTTTACAGACTATGTGGATTTCTTGCCTCTAGGACCAGTAACTTCAAGGTCCATTATGCCACAGGCTTGAATATAAAGTCAGACAGAGAGTCTGACATTGAAATTCTTTTATTATTTGGTCTTAATATATCCTTTTGCTTCAACATCGTAAACATTTGCAGGAATTTCTTAGGTCACCCATTTAGAATCCCCTAAATATAGTTTTTATTCTACCACCTCAGTACTGCTGGCAAACTTTTTGTTTATTAATTTTTATTTGTGAACTTTCTTTTTCTAAATGGCCACTTTCTCAATTTCTTTGCCTCAAACTAAAATCCATTTTTCAACTCTTGGCTGTTAAATACCACTAACACGAAGCGGCACTTCTTAGAAAAATGCTTAAAATTGAAGGGGAAGAAGTTTCAGCCCTACAAGGGCTGATCTTCATTAAAAAGATCTCATAAACTAGCTGAAAAGGGATACCAAAAAAGATCTCATAAACTAGCTGAAAAGGGATACCACTTGTTAAATTTGGGTGTCAGAAGGAATAAAGACAATGCATTATAAGCACATTAATCATATACTTTGACATATAAACCAGAGGATCCAGCTAAGAATGAAATGAAGCATATTAAAAATTATACTGGGATGCCAATCAGTAGAATCACAAAGAAACCTGGCACACAGTGCCCATAATTCTAACTCTTGTCATTTCTTGCTATCTCCATACTTTACTTTCTGTTAAAACCCACCACAAGTGGACTTCTGCTGCAAATTATTTCACCACTTGCATTTTTGTGAAAATCATGAAGAATTTCCATGTTGCTAATCTAATGGACCAGTCTCTGTAATTCTTACTATACCATCAGTTTCGCTAACTCATCACCTTCCCCTACTTGGCTTATTATCAACTTTTAGAAAGTCAATTCTACCTTGCTCTTTTTTCCATTTGACTTACAGGTGTTCTTTCTTAGCCTCCCTTGTTTCTTTTTCTACTATGGAGCTTAAGACTGGACTAGGACTCTGATCTTCATACTCTTCTCTTTGTCTTTTATTTACTATTTCCTAGTGATTTCATCCAGTTTCGTGACTTTATTTTTTCAAGGTTCCTCAGAATATTTCTTTTTCCAGGACAAAATCCCCACTTATAAATCCCCACTTTTATAGCTCAATTTTGTCTTCTGCTAGTTCTCATTAATCCTTTTTTTAAAAAAAACATACACACAGTTGAGACAAATTATTTGACTCATGTTATTTGGCTAGTGTAGATATTAACTTGAGCGGCCTGACCCATGGTAGTGAGTAGATGGACACCTCCAATTCTGAAGCTACCTAAATTTGCCAGTTATTAAATTAGCCTCTCGCAGGCATCAGAGAAGTCACTGGTACGGGGAGTGACTGCTTAATGTTTCCAATTGTGTGATTCCAATAGCCTTAGTGTTGCTGGTTCCTTTAACCTTTAAGCTTCTCAGAGTGAGCTAAATTAGTAGGTCACTGTTATGACTTAAACATCACCGACACATCAATAAACCATTTCCCAAAGTCTCTATCAAGTAACCTATATTTTTTCAGTACTCCACATTTACATATCAAACTAGCTGTATTAGTTCACTATTCTTAATTTTTTTTACCTTGTTCTATATTTGTCTATAGTACATCATTTATGAACATACTAAAAATTGCTTTATTACATTGTCCTCTCCATACCCCTCCCCAAATAAATTTCAGGAAACTTTCTTTTTTATCT